GATGGCTTTTGCATAAACCGACCAAAAGTAGAAAAAATTGAAATTTAAATATGTTGCGGTTGTAAATGTTATCTATATCAGTACACGAACATCTTTAAAATTACAGTAGGTATGCTGGATTCTTTTTTAAGGAATATTTTAGTAAAAATTAAGAAGAATTCAAAGTTTCTTTTTTCAGAAAACTTAGAAATCAGTGAACATTTTTCGGTTAAAAGTAAAAATTTACTCTTAAAGAATGCGCTTAAAAAAGCAATATTGCCATGATTGAAATATGATTGTTTTCATTATGTAGAAGTTTTCATTATGGTCAAAATCGCGTAAATTTGGTTATAAGGAACACCTTTTTTCAACGTCGACATAAAATCAAAAGGGACGTTAAATATCGTCTCTGGCAATATGCTTTAGATGTTTTCAATGTCTAATTGGCTAAACTGCCACGTTACTTGAGGACGTGGCGTTCTGCGTTTCAAATCGTTATCTATTTCAAATTATATATAATTACTGTATGTATATGCATAAAAATTTGCCAGCATGCCACGTAAATATTTAGGCCGGTATTCATAATCACATCTTATGTTCAAGATCATCTTAAGATTATCTTTAGATTCTCCATAGCCAATAAAATATTCCATACAGTATCTTTAGATAAATTCAAGACGGTCTTCAATATAAGATCTGACTATGAATACCGGCCTTAGGCCTTGTAATGATCTTCAATTTCTTTCAAGGCCATGCCATTAATTTTCTGCCATATCACTCAATTGTTAACTATAAAAAGTGAATCGTTTACATTTTAATATAAGTATCGTGGTTATTTCTGTCGCATGTATTAGTAATATCTTTATACAATCAAGTAGTACATTAATTACGGTAGCTTAACAATCATAATGTTATTATATGCGAAACAACGTCAGTTATATTTTGGCGGATAAATGTAGACAACTGCAAATGGGACAAAGATTTATAAAAACATCTCAACGTAAAAATATAATTTAATGAGAAATCACGTCTTACGATTTAGAAATATGACCGATTGCTTTGCGAATTTAAGTTTTTTCCAACTTACATTGTTTTTCCAGGTTTCTTTAAGAAAAATGAAATCAATCTCAAAGAAGAACTTGCAAAACAGCGGCCTGACCTAGTAGAGTGTATTATTTGGAATTCACCTGAAAAGGCACCTAGTCAAAATGGAATAATTGGTCAGTAATGCACTTTCTTTTCCTTCATATCCCGGCGACCTGAATTACTTCCAAGAAAATTGGATCCCCTCGAACAATTATTTAACAATGTTAATATATGCATTTCCTAATCCTGCACACAGAAAAATATATACTACCTGCAAGTAAATATTATTTGTTCCAAGTATTTGATAAGTTTATATATCCACAAATCTATCATAATGTCGTCGCAAGTGTTATATTTACTCAAAACGTATTCTGGTTCTTACAAGTAAGTCTAGTACTTCAAACAAGAATACATATAGAATTATTTGAAGGAAAACAAGTTTGTTTCTTCTGATTTTATTAAAAGAAGCATACGGAATTCTTCAATAAGTTTTATAATTTTCTTCAAAGAAGAATAAATTCTTTCTTTGAGTATAAGATGGCAAGCTTTTGTAAGACTATAAGTAACAAGTATATCTTAAAACTATTATTAAGAAAATATTCTTTGTTAAAGCAAACTATTACTTAAACGGAATAAAATAAACTGAGTAATTACTTTTCTTGACTGTACAATATTTTTCTGTGTGGGGATAGTTACGCACAAAACATTATGTAATAAGTATTACGTCATGTTATACACTACTAAAAAAAAAATAGGGAACACTTTTCATACCCTAAAAATTGGGCTATTTTCAAACCATTGAAACTCAGCGAAAAATCATCGTAGACTCGAAACTAAAAAAGCATTTTAAAGCTTGAAGTTTCACCTTTAAAACACACGCACGTACACACACATATACACACACACACGATGTGCAAAATCCGACTGGCAACCTCCACGTAGTGCACATTGGGTAACGCTAATGCCGGTGGTAAACATCATTTTTCAAGAAAATACATGATTCGCTTCAAACTCATGTAACTCGATCAAAAAAAATCGTAGGAAAATTTTAAAAAATCATTTTGTAGGTAGAATGTTGTAGATTGTGGAACTTGTATCGAATTTGTTGAGATAATTTTTTTTATCGAGCTGCAATGTGTCAAATATACGTAATTTTAAGGAACAAAACAAGGTATTCGTTTTTAAAGCACAGAACGAGGAAGATGAACATACTTAAATAAATCGGTGACAGGGTTTTAAAGGTGAAACTTCAAGCTTTAAAATGCTTTTTTAGTTTTGAGTCTACGATGATTTTTCGCTGAGTTTCAATGGTTTGAAAATAGCCCAATTTTTAGGGTATGAAAAGTGTTCCCTTTTTTTTGGAGTAGTGTATAATTGCGTTGCAGATAAGATGGTTACTAAAGCCCACTTTACACGATCTATAATTCGCAACAGAATTCGATACAGAATTCTATTTAAAAATTTTTATGTATCGTGTAATACAGAAAACATTTGAACAATCAGAATTATAATTATAATGCTCCAATTTTGTAAATAGAAAAGATGCATCAAATATGTGTAGTGCATGAAAATGCGTGATTGATTAATTGTATCTGGTCTAATGAAAAATCTTAAGCATTGATTGCTGTGAGTATTTGTGTTCAATCGGCAGGGAAACCTCATCCATATGTAAATGTTATAACCTACACTAACCTAATCTACAAACATACATATGTCAATTTAATATATGAAATTATAAAATAGAATTCTATCTTGAATTCTGTCGCGAATTATAGATCGTGTAAAGTGGGCTTAAGACAATTGATAATCTGAATTAATTTAAATTATTATTTTCCTGTAACGCTCTTATGATATTCAAACTTCCGTGTCTCTAACTCATTGTCACGACAATCACTGGTGGCCGACATTGAGTTTTCCACTGTGTCTTATCGGTCATCAGTGGCTGTTATGAGATGACAGTCAAATAAAGATCACAAATTATATTTTTGTGCAGCTCGATACGATAAATTTAATACTACATATCGAGTATGTTGTCCTTTTTATCATAAAATCGTTTAACCGGCATGAACGAAGTCAACTAAAGTGGTTTAATAATGAATGTGTTAAATTGTATAATTAAATGAAGTTAAGAATATAATAAAGTAATGAACAGTTAATGTAGTTAAAGATATGTTAACCACATCTCTCAAGAAAGTTGTTATTAATTGTACTTTGTAATTACAGGAAACAAGTCTAAGATCTGTGTATCGTTACTGTCGAATACAGATGGCAAAGGGAAAATGGGAACGTTGGCGCAGTCACTGGCAAAAGCCATATCTACGGGGAACCTTGACCCGGAAGACATTACGGACCTACTAATCTCCGAAAAGTTACAAATAAAAGGAATGCCCGATCCCGATCTCGCTTTAATATACGGTAACACTTATTCCACACATGGTGTTCTACCATGGCACACAAGAACAACAGAATTTTTGTAAGTTTATAAGAAATTATCGTGAATATCTGCCAATGTCTTCTGAAAAGATCTTTTTTAAAATAACAATGTAACTTTTTTCAGAATGTTGCCGCTGTACGTTAATATCTCAGTGAAAGACTTCACGTATTTATTAGAGAGATATAGCAAATGTAAACAACGGCACGGTAAATGATATGTAATTAACTTTATTTATACAAGGGGTACTACGTATCTGCGTAAGAGGAAATAAATGATCTTAGAGATCGAGCTTCTAACATGATTATTTTACATGTCCTACGAATGCAAAAATAAGGAACCCCGCGCTAATCATATAGGAAATTGGATCTCGGTTAAATTGGCTAGTTTTCACATATGTTGTAGCTTATGACCTGCTGAACAAAAAATATAATGGGCTCAAACTTAAATAATGTCTAGTTACTGGGCTACAATCAGTCAAACATAGAAAATTTGGGCTCCGCGAGTCTTGTTTGGAAATACTTTGAAGCATATTAGGAAAAAATGTTTCAGACAAAAGTTGTTTGGTTCGATATATATTTGTTTGGTTCGAAATAAGACTATATTTCATTATATAGTGTCTTTGAAAAACTCTTGACATAAAAATGTGCAATAAAAAATGGGGGTGTCCATTTAAGAAATTGAAATTGACCTTCATGTGACCTTCAAATGATTATCCAAGGTCAAATTAATGGCATCGTCTTATGTCTCCCTTCGAACCAAACAACTTTTGTCTGAAACATTTTTTCCTAATATGCTTCAAAGTATTTCCAAACAAGACCCGCGGAGCCCAAATTTTCCATGTTCGACTGGCTGTAGCTCAGTAACTAGCCATTATTTAAGTTTCAGCCCATTATATATTTTATTCAGCAGGTCATAAGCTACAACATATGTGAAAACTAGCCAATTTAACCGAGATCCAATTTCCTATATGATTAGTGCGGGGTTCTTTGTAATTACACCGAGATACATTAATATCGCGACAAAAAGATACTCTCATTAAAAGAATGTATTTCAGAGAAAAACGGTGTTTTTCCATTGAGCTTTCCTTCGGTCCAGAGTCCGCTGTGCAAATTTTTGGAACAAACATTTGATTGAAATTGCGATATATTTATTATATAACTACATACGTGAAAAAGAAATTCTTTGTTATATTTTTATTTTCATACAGGTATAAACTTTGCTTTGAGTAAATTAATGCAATTTGTTTGTATTACAGCTCCCTAGTACACGTGTACTAGACTATACATGTAATCCGTGTATTTATCTTATACATGTTTTAACCCGTGTACACGAATTTAAAGAATCTATTTACGTGAATCCATGAACACGTGTTCACGAATATCTGCGAACGTGATACACGAATATCCGTGTATGTGACATATGTAAACGTGTAGCCGTGTATACCTCAATAGGAAAATATTTAGAGAATTATGTGATAAAATCTGGATAAAACTTGGAATGCTGGAATTATGCGTATACATATGTCAGACCACATATGCAGAAATAGAGATCTTTCATCAAATTTTGATTAATATTTGCACACGTTTACACGCATCACACATGCACGGATATTCGAGTACACGTGTCGCATACACGAATATCCGAATACACGTATCACATACATGACTATATGTATGTGTACACGTGTCACGTACACAGGTGCACGTGAATAAAGGCACCTTAAATCCGTGTACACGGATTACGTGTACAGTGAATCTTAAATTAAAACATGTATCCAATCAAAAGCTCTAGTTTGTATATTCTACATTAATGTTACAAATATATGTTTTGAAAGATAAGCCATAATATAGCATTACATGTAGCAATAGTTATAAAGGCAGACACTTACGAATATCTTACATAGCTTTATGATAAAAAGATCAAGTACAGCTTTAATAATTTTACGAATTTCTGATACCCAGTGCTTGCTCCAACTCCGCTCGTTTTTGCTGCACTTTTGTATAAAAGTAACGACACACAGCTTCCTGTGCCCAAGGTTGGTAATAAAATTCAGCTCTCCGTTCTTCCTCTGGGTTGCCAACAACGTCGGTCATGGTCTTTAAATCTCTAGTCTGAGAGATAATCCACTTGTTGATGAACTGTTGCGGATCCTTAGCGAAACTCAGGAAGAACTCGCGATTAGTCTTCAATTGATTAATCGTCTCAACGGTTTCGTGAATTTTGTTATCCAAACTTTGAATTTCCTGCTGGCTTGCGGTCGACAGCAAGAAGTTGTTCATCTGCGTTTTCAATGTGTCGTCCACTTCCACGTCAATGTCATAACACGCAGTCTGCTTCGTTTCTGTACCTGAATAACGTAAATGATATCGTTGCAATACTTGTTCCCCGAAATTATTTTTAAAATGAATATTTGTCAGAAATAAAAAAAACATTGCACCTCACTTACCTTCTACGCTTATAACATGATTTATAACGATGGGATCGGGTGGATGTAACAAAGGATTCAGTCGTTGTGGTATTTCGGCAAATTTCATTCGTGAGCAGGCAAATATTTGTTCCAAGTATTTATCACAGTTAATAAATTCTCTTTCGTGACTGTCTTGGAGCTTGTGGGTCTTTATGTATTGCCAGAGTGCGGATATGATGACTGGTCGCGTCTGTGTGTGCACACCTAATAACCGCGCTAATCTTGGGTCCAATTTAAACTGGAATATAAATAACAAAATAAATTTAAGATCAACGAGGACAGTACTAAATTAATTGTGATAAAATGATGAAGAACCCCCCGCACTAATCATAACAATAAGAAATTGGATCTCGGTTAAATTGGCTAGTTTTCACATATGTTGTAGCTTATGACCTGCTGAACAAAAAATATAATGGGCTCAAACTTAAATAATGGCTAGTTACTGAGCTACAGCCAGTCGAACATGGAAAATTTGGGCTCCGCGGGTCTTGTTTGGAAATACTTTGAAGCATATTAGGAAAAAATGTTTCAGACAAAAGTTGTTTGGTTCGAAGGGAGACATAAGACGATGCCATTAATTTGACCTTGGATAATCATTTGAAGGTCACATGAAGGTCAATTTCAATTTCTTAAATGGACACCCCCATTTTTCATTGCACATTTTTATGTCAAGAGTTTTTCAAAGACACTATATAATGAAATATAGTCTTATTTCGAACCAAACAAATATATATCGAACCAAACAACTTTTGTCTGAAACATTTTTTCCCAATATGCTTCCAAGTATTTCCAAACAAGACCCGCGGAGTTCAAATTTTCCATGTTCGACTGGCTGTAACTCAGTAACTAGCCATTATTTAAGTTTCAGCCCATTATATTTTTTGTTCAGCAGGTCATAAGCTACAACATATGTGAAAACTAGCCAATTTAACCGAGATCCAATTTCCTATATGATTAGTGCAGGGTTCTTTAAGGTAAAGATTGCAGAATAATTTACATATTAACTTAAATACTATTAACATATTAACTGCAAAAGATTACCTGCAATGGCTGATAATCGAGAAGAAGAAGGATTGTGCAGCGAACGTTTTTGTCGCCCGGTCTTTTAACTTGAAATCCGTCGGTTTCTTGAGTAGTCAACGTACGGTGCCACTCGACTAAATGGTTGTCAGGACCGTAGAGATCTTTGTCCAATTCTATTACCAAACTTTTGAAGAAAGACGAGAACTTTCGCTTTACCTGCAAAATTTATACAACTGTTGTGTCACTGAATATATTTATGACATAATTATGAAGTAATTATACTATACATTAATTTATTTATCGTAATCATATTTTAGAACCCATTGCGACATTATACCTTATTGGGATCATTCTTCGTGTCATCTAAAAGACGTCCTTCGACTCTAAGTTCCCAAGATGCCACAGATCCTTCCTCTCCTTCGCCCGCCTCTTTAGCAGGATAAAATGTGTTTGAGATAAAAATACGCAATTTTCGTTTCTGCTTCATCGGGCGCTTTAAAGCTTCCTGAATATCAAGACGTTTTCGCATGATAGTCGCGTCCAATTTTCTCTCGAACGCCAGCAAGTCCATATAAGCCTGCGATTCTGGCACCAAATCGCGCACTTTCTGCGGCAATATTTTGTCTGCCAATTTCTTCTTTTTCTTTGATGTGGAATGTGAAAAATCACTGTTCCAAACATACCTAAATGAGTTTATTCGAAAACCATAGACACAGAAATTATAAATAATTCTGTAAGCCTTGGGTTGCAGTGTTTGTCCCTAATAAAATTTGGTCTCTCAAGCGTAAACAAAATACTTAAATCAAACATCAAGTTACTGACGAAAATAACATATGTATACACAGAAATAACAAAAGGGATAAACATGCAAGAGTAAAGATAAATTTCAAAAATCAAAAGCAGTTAATCATTAAAATATAATCTGATTAACGAAGAATACAAAATTTACACAAGGTAAATACGAAGCATTTGTCTCAAAGACTTGTTTCCACGACTGTGATACTTACGGCTTTTGCTGGGACATAGGAATACGTTGGTCCGCACTTCTCTTTCCAACAGGCGGTGTAGGCATTGGGCCCTGACGCATATTTGAGTAAGGTTGACTTGGTCTCATTATCCCGCCAGGACCTGGCCCAGCGTTACCCATTTGTGGAGGCGGAGTGAATCCAGATCTCTGCTGCATCTGTGCAACCAAACAGTCTTACATACATATATATCAAATGTTTGCGTATAATTTGTAGATTGTAATTACTTCATATAATTATCAAGCATCACAGAAAGCCAATCGTATCAGTATTTAATGTTATAATCGATATTTTATCTGCTATGTATCAAAAGTAAAAGGTATACCGGGAAGTTAGGTCCAGAGTATTGCCGTAGATTTGGCGGCACCGACGACGGCGGATACCGTTGAGGCGGGGGCCCATTACTTCCTGCATTTGGCACAGGAAATCTCTGTGCCATTTTTGCTCGTAATCTTGAAAAAGAAACAAACGACTTTGAGTAAATCTCTTGAGTACATTGTGACTAAGATTGCATGATCATTACACATAAATATACAATAAATTTAAGTCAAAGATACAAAAACTGTTGCATTTACATGTCGAGACTAAACTCTGGTTAATTTAATTTCACAAATTGGAATCGTAATATGATACGCGACAACTGGTGCTTTCTGTATTTAGCGACACAAATCAACACAGGCATCAGTTTGTCTTCTTATAACATCCAGAGAACAACAAGGAGGAAATAACACTGTGTCAACTTGTGTCGGTAAATGGAAAGCACCGAATCATAATAAACATCCGACACGCAGGTATAACGTAACCTAGTACAAACGAAAAATTCGTTTCTACTTGCGAATACTGTTACATATTGCGCAAATGCATCGCACGCTCGACATGCGAGAGATTTCAGTAAAACGAATCAATTTGTGTACAAAAGAAACATCGAATGTATCGCACTATCGAGGATTCTCGGTCACTTTAGATCAGAGTTTCACGAGAAATAACAAAACGAAACTGTTGCGCTCAGTTCTGTCGCGTTGGAGCACGTACACACAACACAGTAATTCAGTGAATATTAATTACAAAACGGTATTTGTAAGGAGTATTGTCGAATAACCTTGCAACGCTTCGGTGTATCGGTTTCGTACTTGGTTACGCTTACTTCGTCAGCTTCACTTTCCGTCACTTTTGCTCGCTTTCCCCTAGGGATGGGCAAAAGTCGATTAATCGATTTTCTTTTTTTTGAGGGTCAAGATAGAGACCCTCTAATAAGAGTCTGGCCATAAGATAGCACGCTGTGATTGGTCCGCCATTTTTCTTCAATTCGCGCCAGTTTTTTGAAGCTTCTACTGGTGAAATATAATGAATTAGTATTTTAAATTAGTATTTCTTAAAATTTAATTCTTATTATTGTTTAATTCTTATTATTTAATTTATTATTATCTTAATATTATCAAATTATACAGTTTGTCTAGAATACTTTCTTATATGTATAAGAAAGCATTTAGAAAAAAAATTTTTCCACAAGTATTATCAATTGCATAATTATAAATATAAATAATAAACAATTTCCATATATATGATAATTTTATTCCATAAAGTATATTAATATAATCTTTTGTACTAATTTATGTATGTATTTAATTAAATTTTGTAGATATAATTGTTCAACTAATATATACAGGGTGTCAGATTCGATTTGGACGACTCCAAAGATTATAGTAGATTGGGTCAAGCTGAGAAGAAAAGTTATACAGGGTGTTAATTAAATAGCGCCCACTAATAGTATAGCCACAGTATAACCAGTATGCCCACTCGCTCTTTTGTTTCACGTTCGCGCCGATCCGTACTGCGCATCCGACATGTTTTAGCTATGACCAATCACAGGATTTTTGTACGTGTGTTAGTGCAAAGTCGGTGTGACATTGAAAAATTAGCAGTTTTGACGAATAACGCGTTAATACTTTTATACGTTGGAGCAAGTAATTACATTAATTACTTTTATTAGAACATTTTTTCCATAGGCCATTTCCATTTACAATAAATAATGTACGCTAGTTCGTACGCGCCTTTCCTGGATACGATCCTGAAAAGGGCCCAGGCACTTTTAGCCGTTGATACACTGTTGGGGCTATCAAAAACATGGCGGAAAATTGAGAACGCCCAGATCAAAGGTGCCGACAGAGAGTGGGCATACTGGTTATACTGTGGTATAGCGTTATTCCTGACTAAAAATTGAGTCGAAAAGTCCTGAACCATTTTTTTCTACAA